CCATTGTTGCAGCTTCACCAACGGCCTCACACTTCACACCTCTAACAATCCTTGATTTTAGGGGTCTCCCCAATGATGTGTATTCTGTAATTTTTCTGTGAAAGCTGTTAGAGTATGTATGTATTGTAAGTATCTGTTTTTCTAGTTTAAATAGGTGTATCGATTTCTCATCAATTGTATTGAAAATTAACCTTGAGTGGATAGATAAAATCCTTCTTCAATACCTCAGATTTATCTGCATTTTATCTGATCGGATTAAAGTGGTAAGAGCAGGGAACTACCAAGTTAGTATATCATCTTCTCTTTGAACTTATAATTTTCTGTGGAGTTGCTTGTTCTCTTTATATTGGATTTGGTTGAGAGGCAAACATTAATGCCGATTCTTTATCAATATCATTAAAATAATTTTGGCTGCTTCTTAATGATTAGGAACTGCATAATGATAGCTCATGTAAAATAGGATAATGCTGTAAGGTGCAGAACGCAAGCTTATGCAGAAGCCGTAGCTTGTAATGCTTGTGTGATTGTGCATGATGCTGTTAGCCAGTTGGCTGCATCCTGTCTCAATATAAAAGCTAGAAAAGATCGCTATCAAATTTCACTTACAGCACTTGAGCTTTCGGGAAAGATTGTTGTAATGGATGGCATGACTTGCAGATTTGATCTCTTTATGTATGAATCCACATTGTCACGTCTTTGATTTATTTCCTTGCTACTAGCAGTTATCCCAATTTTTTGACTGTCGCCCCCAATATATTGTTAGGAAAACAGCTAGCTTAGTCTTTGAATGATGAAATTTTTTATAAGCAACACCTTCATGCCCAAAATAACGTTGTTGGCATGTCGAAGAGTTATGCCAATTCGGTCAAGGAGAAGATAAAATATTATTTTCTGTGTGCTCATTCATATAAATCTAGGATTAACTGGAATGTCGAGAATGATCAATCTGTGATATTGAAAGGAAAGATGGATACTATCATACGCCCCGAGCATCTATTGGAAACCAGAAATTTGTGCGGATAACCATTTTGATTTGTCTGATTAATTCACATATCCTAACTAATATAAAAGAGG